TATGAATAAATCGTCCGGTCATACATAGACTATCTTGTTTCTTCGCCCATGTGCTCACACATCCAAAGCACGCACACAGAAAAAGTGATTTTAAATGCATCTGATTGACAGATAAATCATGGTTGATCTATCAGTCAGATGCACGTAAAATGCATGCGCTCTTATTTCAATGTTGTTGTCAATGTTGAGGTTATATTAGCTTCCTACATTTAGTTTAACTGCACTGTTAAAGAAGGATTTTTATCATTCAACTGAACTGTGTGCATAGACACTTACATTGTTTTTGCTCTATCCATGCAGTAACTGCGGTCTTCTATCAACCGAGTTTCTATTTACTTATACTGCTGTGTAATATCTACGGTATGACCCATTTCAGGAGCTGACAAAATTACGATTTAAAATCAGAGCATAGCTCACATTCACTAAAATACTGAAACGCTAATGATGCTGATTCAAAACGACAACGCCGGTGATTGACAGTCAAAGCAAAGCGCGGTTTGAACGGCCCGCCCCCCAGCTGAACTGGAAGTTTTGATTGGTTTTGCACCCGAGTCAGACCTGTCTGTTATTGGCTGAGCGCAGGAATCCACCCCAGAAGTTTGAAATGTGCCCGTCAAACGAGATGGTCCTCACTGCAGAACACAAGATCCAGGGGTCATGGTTGATTCCAGATCCAACTCCTCCCACCTTACATATACCTAAACCTACCCGTCTCCACCCCCAATCCCTAAACCCACCCATCTCCACCCCTAAACCTACCCATCTCCACCCCCTAGATCCAAACACGCCCCCTGAATCTTGTGTTCTACAGTGAGGGGCTACTGGGTCAAACGCCGGCTCGCTCTGTTTCTCCATCGGTGCCTTCTTTGTGTCTATTTTTTTTTTTTTGTACTTTTGGTGAAAAATAAATGTAGCGAAGTTGAATACTTTAGTTTTACTTTAGTAAAAGTAAAAGTACCACAATTTAATTATACTCAAGAAAGTAGAAAATTTTTAAAAATGTACTCAAGTACTGTAACGAAAGTATTTGTAATTAGTTACATTCTACCTCTACGTATATACATGATGTGCCATCATGTCACATGCAAATATAGTCTCAAGTACAGCAATTTTATTGACTGCTGTGCTAGTTGTCACATTGACATGAACAAACAGTGTGTGTAGACATGGTCAAATTTAATGAGTTCCATTTAATAACTTTTGGCCCTGTCTGCCTTCCATATTCATGTTTATTTTGATGCTAATGCTCACAAAAATGTGCTTTTAGCAAAAATTTATTTCATGTAATCTTAATATTATATTGTCATATTTATCAAAATAAAATTGATAAAAATATATATAGACCCCACTTTATTGATATTTTAATAGCAATGGCCTATGTTAAACTTTGTTCTTTGTTCTTTTATATGCAGGTGCTGTATTGAGAAGTAAATTACTGAATAAAAAGTGTTTCTGTTGCTTCACACATATTATCATTATTATTATTATTAACCAGAATAAAATATATAACAGTACACAGAAATGTACAGACTGATACACAAAACATGCCAGAGAGTACAAACCATTGATTCAATAAGCAAAAAAAGAAAGGAAAAAAAAGTATATTCATGAAAAATATTACAAGTCTGCTTTTGCTTCTTTATTGCCATGTACTCCAAACTGGTGCACTAGTCCTTCCTGAAGAAAATGAATGAAATTTGTTTTGTATCCTGACCCTTTCTTATGTTTCTGACAATTTCCTCTATGTGAAATTTTCCCTTAATAATAATAAAAGTAAAATAATTGTTGTTCCTCTTATTATTATTATTATTACTTTCATTGGAACAATACATACATGTAGGCATATAAAAAAATATTTAGCTTTAAATATAATATTTGTTTTATTTCTAATGAAATTTTCTATATCCACCCAAAATCTTACAAATATTGCATCTAATCCACTTCATCTATGATAAAGTATGCAAACATGGCACGGGTGTCACTGTGGGAAGCAGAAAGTGTCCAACTTGATGCACTGTTTTCAACTCCTTCTCCGACTACAAGTGGCAAATCTTGATGATCGGTTACATCCAGCCGCAGCTGAAGTTGGACACATTATTGCCTCCTTTCATTTGACTTTCCCCCATTCATTCTCAATTACCCACCACACATTTTAGGAAACTCAATGGGTTCAGGGCGGCAAGAGTTACTCTGGTGGACAGTGTAACTTTAGAAAAACTATTTATACACTTTTTTTAATGTTAGATTTCATAATGTGTGTGTTATTTTTGTACTGTGGGTTATTTAATTTTTTGAGGAGGCACTGCCTCCCTTGCATCCTCTATGGAAATTCCCTGCTTCAGGGGTAGGCTACATGCAGAGAAGTCTTCACAGGAATGTGGGAGGAGAGTGCATGAGCCAATGGAAAAAAGGGAGATTGGAAAAAATGAAGGAGGGGCTCTCTGTGTAAACACAGAGCATGAGACACCTGTGCCCAGGTAGGATGTTGATCCCTCTTTCTTACTGCATGAAAGAAAACATGAAGATACTTTTGATAAAAACAATTGTATATATATTGCATATGGTTATATTATTGCCTGTTTATTAATGAACTTATATATTGAATATTTAATTTATTTCTCTTTTTGGATTAAGAATGTTAAAACATACATTGTGTATAGGCACAATGATGTAAAGCCTTTTTCAATTTAACCTAAAAAAAATCATAAAAATACACAATAGGATCTTTGCAAACATAACCTATTTTGTATTTCTTCTCCAAACCATTATTCATTTTAAATCCACTAGTCTCTTTTCAAAATTTGATTTATTTGGATTTTGATTATACAAATTAATGTTTATTTCACATTTCTAATGCTATACAAGAGCTTTAGTTAGCAACCTGAGCCCTCATTCATTTTTAATGTGAATGAACATGATAGGGCCCAAGTGACCACACACACAAACTATTTGGATTTTTTAGGTCTCTTTTGTACCTTTTTGCACTGGCCAATAGTCAAGCAAATTTTCCTATGTGTTTTTGTTGTTGTTGTTGATTGTTGTGACCTGTTGCAGAGTATGTCACTTTGATTGTTTTGCTTGTTTATGTAATACATCTAATCTGTTATAGATTAAACCTAAAACATAAAATAATATTTAGTTCAGTAAATGAACTGGGGGATTCTCCTTCATCCAATTACTGGGGTCAGACATTTTCAGGAAGAGTTTTTTGCTAAAATGGCACTGTAAATTTTATATTTTCACCTTTCACTGCTGAAATAATCCTGTTTTTGCCAGACAGGGTAAATGCACCAGGCTGATAACGTGAAAGATTCCATGACCATTAAGATAAATTATATCTGAAAGTCCTGTATTCAAATTTCATAGACATTGCAGAGACCGTAAACACACAAAATGTTACCAAGTAGGTTAATGCCTGTGGTATCAGTTGTCAAACTCAGGAGGCTAAAGGCTTCTGTGAGACTGTCCTAGTTCTCAGTTGCCCCCAGTGGTTATCAGTAAAATGTGTGTGACTCAACAGAAGACTAGTGTTCTGCTAAAAAAGACACTACAGAGGTCTGTATTACACCAGCAGGGAACGAAGCAACCAAGGCATACAATAACTTATTTGTATCATATAAGAGGAATACAAAATTGCAAAAGGTGTCTATAGAGACATTTCACTGCAGTTTCCAGTTTAAATAAACACTAGTGGCAGTAAAACACCAAATACCTTTATTTCTGTTCCCACAAATTATGATTACGGGGCAGATTATCAACACATAAAGGCATATTTTTGCACGGTTCCTGGCACAATATTATGTTATGAGCTCAAAACACTGTTTACCATAGTGCACAATTTGTAAGTTAACACATTTTGATTTCCATATCTATGGCTTTTCTGATGTAGTATACTTGTATGTGAAATGCGTTACAAGCAATGCAATATCATTTTGCAACCATTTTGTACTAACAGGCACACATTTTCATGATCCTGTGCTGTATAATAAACCCACATCTGCAAAGGAGAATAAATGATATAGCTTATAGTGACTCTTGTTTACATGTCATGAAAAGTGCAGCGAAATGTACCCAGAGCAACAGAAATGGTTTTTAGAGAAATGGTCAGGTTTTGCAGAAATGTTGGCAGAGTCAATACATCTGGGTTCTATTTATTATTTGACACAGTATGTGTGTGGTATTTTGTCAAGAATTTTACCAGATTTTTTTTTTTTTTTTTACAAATTTATTTATTTATTTATTTCCAACAGGTATCATCAGTGAAGCTGAAGTTCAGAAAGCCCCCTAATATAGAGTGATGCTGCTTGGGTCACACTTCCACAGGAGACCCTTTCCAGCAACTGTATCCCAAACAGTGTCCAGCACCCCTGTGCGTCTTTCCAGTTCAGTCTTTGAGAAACATGAGGTCTCCTCCCAGTCTCTGAGCTCCTTTCCTACCTGGATAACACAGGCACTATGTGACCGATCACAGAGTGAGCAGGAACTCCAGCAGCTAAGGGAATGGCAAACTGCAGAAGTGGACAGAGTAAACCAGGGTTTGGATTCTGATATTCTTGGAGCTCAGAAAGAGGAACGCTACCTGCTGGAGAGAGTGGAACAAATACATAGGGATACCCAGCAACAGATGCAACAGATAAAAAGAGAGAATGCAGCCGCAGTTCAGGTAGGGCAGTCTCTGGTAGACAGGCAGCAGAGAAAGATGGGCCAACTGAGAGAACAGATCCACATGTGGGGTAGATGTCGCAGTGGTCCCAATAAAAGTCAGTTACTGAGAGGTGTTCGGGAGCTGATACAACCATAGGAGATCTCTCTCTCTCTAAAAAATGCCCATTTCCAGCCTTGCCAACAGCCAAGTTCCATACCTTTTGGGGAGGTTGTTGTGCAAGAGAACAACCTGAGTTTTGGATACCTGGGCTATCCATTCTGGAGATTTGCCACATGAGAACCATGTGGCTGTATCTGAACAACTGCATACTCCATGTAAAGGAGCTGTAGGTGGAATGGACAAAGAATTGTCCAGGACAAATACTGGAACCTCTCGTGTTGTCAGGAAGATTTGTATATCAACAACTGAAGAGAATGCATTGGGGGGAGATGTAAAACTGCCATGCCCAAAACCAATAACTTTTTTCGGTTGCAAACGGGACAATTCTGAGACATCCCAGGATGAAGACCTGGAATCACCCGGTTCTGACATCCGTGGAGATGACCTGTTTTTGGCTATCCATCCAGTGTCAAGCCAAGGAGAGTCAGAAGACAAGTGGCCAGTAACTGGACAAAATGGAGTCAGAAAACACTCTATCTCTAAAGACTACAGAAATCAAATGACCCTGCTCCCAGTCTCTAGCAAAGAACCTTCCTGTCCTGGAGAATGGGCTCAAACACTATAAAGGAAGTCAAGGATTCAGAGGAGGAATGTTGCAATATTATAATGATAATATGCCACCTGCTAAGTCTGATTACAGAGGTGCTAAATCAAGCTATCACACTGAGACAACCTTCCTCTCCAGCAGATAGCGTTGATTCAAGCTACACCTTCATTGTCAGGTCAGGAAGCAGTTGTAGTGAGTCTATGAAAGGAGAAAAAAACGGTCTCTCTCTACAGCCGACCTTTCTGCCAGGGGTCGTCCTTTGATTAATGGAAAAGGAGAGAACTTAAAGAGAAAGATGAACCGCTGCCTGTCAGAGAGTCCTCCCTGTACTAATTCAGAACAAGGCCTTAAAGTTTCTGAAAACTGGGAATCAAAAGACCATTCAACAGTAGGCTGCTCTGGGGTTTCCAGTAGAATTTGCAGATCTTTGTCTATGTCTGCTATAGAGGGAAAAGCTATGCAGCAAGCAAGATGTGAGCAGAAGAAAGATAAAAAAAAGTGGAGAGAGACCAAATGTCGGGCTATTTCTGGTTGAGGAGGAGAAGAGTACTTTAAAAGTTGGACATCTGGTCAAAAAAATTGGCAAGCAAGGATCAGGACGCACTGACTTCACCTTACCCAGTGGAGTTCATGCCACTCCTCAAGGGCAGCTGTTTGTGGTGGACTGTGGAAATGTCTGTGTGCAGATAACTGATCTACAGAGAAATGTTGTGCAACAAATCTCTCCTCCAGCATGTGAGGGTACTTCCAGACATTGCTGTAACTTCTTTGATGTCGCTGGTAATAATAAGGGCTTAATAGCCCTTACTTGTGCTGCTGAACGTGTACTCCTGGTGTTTAGCCGGCATGGCCGCCTTCTGCAGACTTTTGGAGGATCATCAGGGCCAGCAGGTGCTCAGCAAGATCTGGAAGCTCCAAGAGGAGTCACTGTGACACAGCAAGATGAGTTTTTGGTGGCAGATATCCGCCGTGGAACCTTAACAGCCTTGAAGCTGGATCCTAAGACAGGAGCTAAAATGGAGCGCACAGTTGTTACAGGCTTCCATAGGCCTTACCTGGTGGCAAATTGCTTGACATCTGGTTTGATAGCCGTCTCTGAGAGGGGCAATGAAACTGGACGGGCACCTTGTATAAAGGTGCTAGAACCTGGGTGGAACACCATTCGTATCTTGGGTTTCTGCTCTGGCATGGGTCCTGTCCTTTTGAATCCTTGGGGCATTTGTATTGATGCAGATGGAGATGTGCTGGTTGCAGACTGGGGAAAGCAGCACTGTATTGTGCTTTATTCTTCTGTAGGTGTTGGTCAGTCTATTGTGAGCCAAGGTCTGAGCAGCCCTAGAGGCCTTGCTGTGCTCCCTGATGGCCACCTTGTAGTATCAGACAGCAAAGTTTTCATGCTGTCAGTAACCTTCAAATATCAGTTCCTTATAAAAATGGGTGGATTGGGTTTGTTTGACCTTTGCTTGATTAAACTATTCTATTAAATATCTTATATGACCTAAGTAGTATTAAGAATGTTAAATCCTAGCTAGAAATATATATAGATTTGATTTAAGGATATTTAATCATTTGAAATTTTTTAAACCCAATTTGTTTTAAATGACAATCTCTTTGTTGTTTAATCTCTATAATCTCTGTTATTGTAATGTTTTCATTTAGTTTGAAAAAAAAAGGTATGGCTTTCTAGATTTCTAGATCTATTTGTTTGACTTTTAGATTTATTAAAAGCATATTTTATACTTTAAAAAGGCTTAATATTTGATCATTTTAAAGATATAATGACACAAAGTGTACAATAACTGAATGTGCTATCTATGGGATAACTAGAGGTGCGTCCCGATTTGCGTACTTATGCACTATTCTATGCCGTTTTTCACAATTAAAATTACAAAAAGAAAAAAAGTGCACCTTAAATACCCAGATGATGCACTTAATTTACCAAAAAGTGTGGAAAAGTTGGACACTTCAAGCATTCAGCTGTCACTGCTTTATTTACGTTGCGGTGGGCATATCAGACTCTGATGTTGAATGGCAAAATAAAAAAAAAAAAACGTATACAAAATATTGTATAAGTGCATAGTGAAGAGTGCGTCATTTGGGGCACAACTTTTTAACTCGTTTAACTTGTAACAACTGTTTAAGAATAATCACCATGTATTATTCAGAAGGTTGTGCATTACGTTTAAGATCTCTATTAATCATGCGTTTGAAGATTTTGTTTTTGTCTTTATCTTGATTTGTCTGTGCTTAGCAGTAAAATCGTTTAGCTTAAAATAAACTAAACACCATGTTCAAAACCATTGTCTTCATATTATGCAAGACACTGAGTCAAGCCTCTTCCTCATGCTGAACAGCAAACAACTAATTAACAAATTAGTGTTTCTCAATCCTTATCTTTAGTAGTTGATAGTGACATGAAAGCGGAATGAAGGATGAAAGATTTGATTGCAAACTGTGACTGTCATGACCTGCAAGACATTTTGCTGAAAAGAACATAATTTTCTGAAAAAAGTTCAACAAAGGCATCAGTAAACTATTGTAGAAAGTTTACACATTTGAGTGATTCTGAGAACATAAAGTTCTCAGAATAAATAAAAAAAAACAAAAAAAAAAACATATTGGTTCTAAACATTCATGTACAAAATTATCTAACTCCCAAAAGTCAAATTTTGTACAGAATTTTTTTAACCTCCATGTATGTGTAACAGCTAATTCAGTTTTCTTATAGAGTTCTAAAGGCTTAATTGTGTTTTAACAAATAAGTGACTTAAAAACAACTGCGTTGAATATGGGTTGAATAATTTACATAGCTAAATAAAAAAAAATAAAAAACTTTCACTTTTAATTTGCCACTAAACTGTTATCGATGTAGTAAAAAAAACAAAATAATAACTCTGGATCTTACAGAAAAGCTTACATTTGTAAATTAATACAATCTCCAGGAGATTTAGTAATTTCAATTGCAGTTGTTTGTGTGTGTTTGTGTGTGTGTGTTCTAAAGAAATACAAAAACCAAAGACAAAAAAAAAAAAACTTAAGATCCTTGGAAAATCTTACCATTAATGGAATAAGATATTTATATATTTATTTATTTAGTTATTACTTAATACGGTTAATGATTAATTATCTAAAGTGAGGATTTTGTAATGATGGAATCTTTTCCTCTTTTCTGGACAGCTCTGTCAGTAAATTGTGTCATGTTTACCAAAAGATTACTGCACATACTCGAAAATTCATTGCATCCACCCACCCACCGAGAGCACCAGTATAAAGGGCCGCTGCAGTCCCTGCTTCAGTGCCTTTGGCTGAGTTCAGCTAACCTGGATCAAGTGAACAGCTCATTATGACTGTGGTGTTACTTTCCCTGTATGCATGCTTGGCTCTAGCTCTGAGCAACGCAACTCCAGTGTGAGTATCTGATACAATATCACTTTCCATCTAGAAAGGACTGCAGAGTTCCAAAACAGCCTTTCTTCATAGCTTTTTCAAGATCCTTAAATGCAATGGTGCAAATATAGCAAGTAGTAGTTTAATCACAGCACTCTTGTACTGTAGCCTAAGGGGGTTTATGTTTTTATGCAAGATTTACATGTAACATTTTATCCATGTTATTACATGCAGTACAACATTTGCATGTACTTTGCTTTCTGTGGAATAAATGTGATTATGAATATTTTTGAAACTCATATTTGGCCAGTGTGTTTGCATAATCCTCTGTTTACTTGTAAGTTTAAATTTAGTCTATCGTTGTTTGTGATATCGCAGAACACCACAGAGAACGATCAATAACACAGATACTGACTGGTTAAAGTCCACATCAGCAATTTTTTATTCATGTTGCTGCCTTCAGTTCACAGCCCATGCACAATAACTTCATGTTTAATCAGTAGGCAGCAATTTGCTAAAGCATGTAATTTAGTTACATATTGTCAGGGCTTGTTTTATGTGTAATGCAGTCATTTAACCGAAAGATTAACTTTAAGCTTCTGAAAGTATAAAGCATTGCATTTAACATTTACATTTAAATCGTTTTCTTTATTTCAGCCACCATGAAGTCATGATAAAAGGTAGGTTTGAAAATCTATCGCTGCAGTTTTACAGATATTCTGACATTCTTGGTGTTTTACAAAATTGCCAAATTCTTCTTGCCACACTTCTAAAGGTTTTTACTAATACCATATTGTAATGTTGATGGTATGTTAAGAGTTAAATGTGTTATGTTTGACTATCAACTGGATGTTAAGCACTATTTTTACTCTTGATCTACTGCATGCTCTAGATTTCATGAATGATTGTAACAAAGTCAATGATTGAGAAGGAAGAGGACGGGGTCGGCTTGACTGCTGCTGGTGATTTTATTCGGGTTTCAATAAATAAACAGAACGTCGCGCTACCAGCACTCAATGTAGCACAATTGCATAAGCAAAAACATAGGGGCTCTCCAGAGCAGCTACAGTCTCCACACATGCACACATGCTGTTCTACTGTAAAGATGTGTGTAGATTTACTTCAGGCAATACTCACTATGTTACCAGGATGCACAGTGTCTGGATCCTGTTACAAATATGATATTTTCTATTAGCACCACGTCGCTGACTTCTTATCCATTATAGACTAAACAAATTTAGCTATTTCCACAAAATTGACATGATACCTCAAGCCTTCTGGAGTCCAGCGACACAGTCTCATCATCGGCAGAAGTGCACTCCACTGCTGCAGATGTGCCTTCCTTCTGCCATATTCAATAAAAATTCTATTGATAGTTTTGACAGGACATGCCAAGCCTATGATTTTAATAAAGAGTACTCACCGGCAGATCATAGTCTGGTGGCTCCAGAAGTGTGTTACCAGACACTGCAAGGTAAGGCAAAGTCAGACAGTCTACATAACAAAATCGAAATATTTTATTGTATTCCATGTGCAGTAGTATGGCAATAATGTACCTTGTATGAAGAGGCCAGTTTCTCTTGCTCTCGAGTCAGTGGCTGTCCCTCCCTGGATCCCTTCCATCACTGGCTTCCCTTTATTCAACTCCAGGGCCAGCTTCTCTGCTGTGGTGGTGAAGTCTTAGTCTTGGGTTGGAGCCCATCCCAAGTTTTGCCTCTTTGTTGCCATCTCTGTTTGAAAACCTGGAATTGCAGCTGTGTGCGGAATTATCTAGCTTGCGTGGGTTGTGCTCCAGCGCGGATGAATCTAATGTTCTGAAGTGTATGTGTGTGGCAGTCAGTCACCGCACCGGTGTGGATATTTACTGTACTCGCTATCACAGATTCTAGCCTGCGTCTTGGAATATGACCCAAATAAGAATTTTCACCGTATATTGCCATCTGAACAAGTAAGTAACAAGTCTGCCACATTTGTTCTGACCAACTGAGGAAAAAAAGGCATTACCATAAATCTCGCTACTTATGGCGATTAAATCTAAAGATCAGTTAGCTCATTTCACATCAAACCGTTCAAATTATTATTATTGTTATACTTTATTCTCGAATGATTAATGTTAACATCAGCATTGGGGACTATGAGTATAGCGTGTATTAGCGTGTAGATTTCAATTTCTGCAGAGTCTAATCTAATTGTCATACTCTTCGAATTTCATATTAAGAAATTCTTTTAACCCAAAAAGCAAATTGTGCTCCTTTCAAACTG